ATACCTTTAATAAAGGTAATAGTTAACGAATATTAAATAAAAATAAATATATCAGCAGGATAAACTAATAGGATTTGACAAATAACAAATAATTGGATTTTACATAAAGCATTTTACGTTTTGTATAAAATTAAAGTCCTAATCAAAATATTTTATTTACAAACCAAATTAAGAAATAGTTAAACTAAATAACATTAAACTTTTTGTCAAAATATGTGTTTAATATATTCACCATTTTCTTTAATTCATTTGTCAATACATGCTATAAAATATCGTCACATATCAAATAGCATCATTGGTTCTCAAGAAACTGCTGCAATATTTATATAAGTATTATAAGTACAACAATAAGTTTTTTTTTTAATTTTTATGAATTAAATGATTATATTAATATCTCACCACAAGATTATGACTACCACGAACAATCCAACGTTTAGGAAAGTTGTATTTAAATACTGTCTCACTCCGCTTTATATATAATGTAATGGTGTACCATCTTGTACAAACCACATATTTCGCCTTAAGTTTGATGACAGTTCTTCCAATAAATCAATAATATCATTTTATACAAAATGTAAATAAATCTCGACATTCAAATAATTCAAAGTAATTCGCATATCCGTAAAAAATAATTACCAATGGTTCCAAACCATAGGACATGCATTTTAAATATAAATTTTGAATGATATTTTACGGATATGCGAATTACCTTGCAATTTGAATTGTGAGATTTATTTATATTTTTTATAAAATGATTTTATTGATTTATTTGAAGAATTGTCATCAAACTTAAGGCTAAATATGTGGTTTATACAAGATGGTACACCAATACATTACAGAGAAAGGGGAGTGAGAACAGTATTTAAAAACAACTTTCCTGAACGTTGGATTGTTTGTGGTAGGTATAGTCATATTCCTTGGTCATGTGGTGAGATATTAATATAATTATTTAATTCATAAAAATCCCAAAAGAAAACCTATCATTATACTTTATACTTACAATAAGTACTGCAGCAGTTTCTTTAGAACCAATGATGCTATTTAATATGAGACGATATTTTATGGAATGTATTGACAAATGAATTAAAGAAAATGGTGGACATATTGAACACTTATTTCGACAAAAAGTTTAATGTTATTTAGTTTAACTATTTCTTAATTTGGTTTGTAAACAAAATGTTTTGATTAATGACTTTAATTTAATACAAAACGTAAAATGTTTGATGTAAAATCCAATTATTCTGTTATGTTATCAAATCCTATTATTAATTATCCTGCTTGATATATTTATTTTATTTAATATTGCGTTAACTATTAACTTCACTAAAGTATTTTATAACAAAATTCAGAAGTATTAATGTTTTTACCTATTTTTCTTTTATTGTCTGGAGTAATTGCGTTAAATCAGAATTATGCATTGATTTGTAAAATGCGATTATCTCGAAAACTGTTGAGTTTTAGGGTTATTAACAGGTACTATACGTTTTTTTTTGTTAAAATAATGAATATTTAATATTTTTTATCAAAAATACTGGTAACTTGAAGAACAAAAAAGTTAAGTGCAAATATATGCCACGTATGTGGTATATGTGGCGCCCTCTATTAGCTATATCAAAGTATGCATCAAATTATAATTTCTGATATTCAATAGTACCCAGTTGTTAATGTTTTATACATAAATGTTTATAAACGCAAAAGTTATAGCAAAAAATATAATTTTAAATTTCCCCTTTAACACCCTGTGGACGTTTCGACGATGGTAATACACCATAACAGGCAGGCGCCATTTGAAGGAGACCACGACCTAGATGAAGAAGTGGAAGTAAGCCAAGTCAAACAAGTACCTGAATTCACATTTGAAGTATTTATGGGTGCATGTAAAGGTACAAATGAGCCAAGACATAGTGTTACCATTGAAGAAAAGTAAGATCTACTCGAACTTCCAACATACCATTAAGGCCAGTAATAAAAACGCACAAAAGTTGCAAAACTTCAATATTGATTATCAGATCCCGAAAAAGCTTTGAAACTCCAAGATGTATCACATTACCTTTTCTACATGGTATCAAAAGACACTGTTCATGACAAATCCATCTATTGAGATGTATGAGAAACATTACTTACACGAGTTAAAAGAAACGACCAGAGACAGACTTCTTTGGAGACGTATAACAAATGAAATCACGATGGCCATTACACTTATTCGTGGTATGAGGACTGAAGAGAGAGGTACTGCAACCCTTGGAAAATTTTGAAAACTAGAACTATAAATATAGTATCAAACGCGCTGGTGGCGATCGATGTAATCATTAGATGTTGTTTACTCATGATCATGTGCTTATGGCTTTATCAATCGTTGTACCTCCTGACATATACCTCGACATATTTCAGCAAACCGCTCAAAAAATTGTACATCCTATCTATCTTCGAATGCCCTCCTATCGAAAACATGTGGAAAACGTTAATCATAATTCTTCTTAACTTCTAATCTGTTGTTTTGCTTGTCTTGTATTATATATATATATATATATATATATATATAATATATATATATATATTTATATATATATATATTTCTATGATGTTTTGTGTTTGTGTATGAGCAATGAATAATTTAAAATAACATATATAAGTATAGGGTTTTTATCGAGGTTCTCAAAGAATTAGTTTGTAAGTATTTTTTTTAAATTATCTTTATTATAACTATTATGAAATACATATATATATATATATATATATATATATATATATATAATATATATATATATATATATATATATATATATATATATATACATATGTACTATATATACATATGTAGTATATATATTTATATATATATATATTATATATATATATATATATATATATATATATAGTATATATATACGTTACAGCGTCTGACGGTTGTATGTTCAGTCATTTTAAATAAATTGGTGAGTTATTAGTCCAGTGAATCTTGAGACAAATAAATCCGAAACAGGAAAGAATATTAGCAGGATAATAAAAATTAGTAACAGGCATTTTGATGAATATAGTTTAGTAAAATTAAATAAAAAGAAAGAAAAGAAAAAAATAAGAAAAACAAATCAAAATGTTTTTATTTTAATAAAATAATGAATGAATTCTAATGGTAGTACCAACTACATTATTTCGTAACATGTTTTTTATTAGATAATATATGGTAGCTAATTATAATTTATTCTCTTTCAGCCCTAAAGAAGCCAATATAATTCTCTTTGGCGAAAACGTTCGGCGAAACAATTGATACACATTACAGTTTTTCTTGCAGATTTCCCCAATATTTAAGAGTTTACTATTTAACTTATCTGCAAAGATTAAATTTCTTTTCTCTCTCTCTCTCTACTCTCTATCTATATATATATATATTATATATATATATATATATATATATATAGGTATCTTTTTCCTTAATTATTTTAGGAAGCTTACGTATTTCTTCAAGAATTGGCCAATTTGTACTGTTTTTTGCTAGTTTCTTTATATTCTTTTGTGCGCACACTTGTCTCAAGTCTCTCTAGTGTCGATAGAAGTGAAGACGCTAATCGAGGTCGATTACGTCGAGACGCTAATGTGTCGAGTCTATTAACGACGTTGGTAATGCAGACGTCGATTGAGAATCTAGAATCAAATAAATAATATCTTCCTCTTTGGTATACAATATGTTATTCTATGTATATACTTTAGCAGATTGTTCTCCTTTGTAGTCTTCCTTATCTATTAAGCTATTAATTTCAGTTTTACCGTGCTCTCTAGGAATTTCAAGTTCGATAAGATCTGGTTGGTCAGCCCATTTGTCATTGGAAGCATCTATTTCTTGCTGTTTGTGCATTTATATATTATGCCTTCGTCAATACCAATATGCTACTTTCTGGGTCTTCATTTAGTTGTTTGAGCTCTTCTGATGTGCCTTTATTTCATGATACGCCATCTACTGTAATGTCTTTAGCTCCTTTCACCTTTTTGTCCATCAGAATAACAAATTCCTTCTGTAGTAAGTAATGTCTTCACTCGAAAATACTCCATACTATTGCTAAGAGTTCCTTCTTTATCGTAGTATTATTAACTTCCGCTTTGTTGAGTTCTTCGGTACTTACAATAAAATTTTCTATATTTCAGATATTCTAGATTCTAACTAACATTTATTTATAAAATGTAGCAATTTTAAGTGAAACAAAGATCTTCATACTTTAGGAGATCCATTTTATTTAGCCGATCCGGTTATTTTTCTATTCCATTGTTATAAGATAAATTCCATACGAAATTTTTCCTTTTGGATAATATTCTACACAACTTTTGGGATTACATTGCAGAATCTCACAGTTTTCCGTCCACTGTTGTTCATTATAGGCCCTTAAATGATTGGTAATCCTTTTAGTCGTTTCGTCATCTTGTAAATCGAAAGTTTGCCTTCCATCTAAATAATTTTCAATTCGACTAATGAACTTCCCTCATGATTGCTGATGTTGTTGCCTTAAAATCTTTTTGATTTGTCCCAAACTTAGTCGTATTTTGCAAATACTTGGATATTCCAGTTTCTTTCCAATTACTATATCTTGAACTTGTTGACCCCATTGTAGTAATTCGTTCTTGCTTCTAATTTTTTTTCGCTTGCCGAAGGTCTCATAAGCTACTTTTTTAAAAATGTTCTCAAACTCGGCCATTAATCATTTTATATCTGATTTCTTATATTGTTGTTACAGATGAAATGTAAATTTTTAAGTTCGATTTCTAGAGATTGAGATTCTATGAGATTCTTTTTCGACACGCGTAGGGAGTTCGGGGGGTACGTATAAAGGCGTCATCGTTAGTCGAAGTTTCCTTCACCGTCACTGTATCACTACGACTGTACACTGACATTTGTCTTTGACATTCTAAAGAAGAAATAATATTTGCTGTTTTGATTTCATAACCTGTCAGATCTTAATAATTAATAAAATCTTTATAATAAGATCTTAATAATTAATTAATAAAAAGCATTATGTAGAACATTTAATTGTATAAAACCGATACAATTTTTTTACATTTACACCAAATTTCATGTTACAACTTAAATTATGTCTAAAAATTACAAAAATACAAATAAAACATCACAAATATGATAACCTAATCCGTATTAAATTTGATTCCAATCTCTTTTTCTCAGTTTTACTTTGACTCCGTTCTCTGATTTAAGAACAGTCTCTGCAGCTACTTCAAGTTTGTGTCCACAAGGTAATACTTCATAATTTCTTATGACTTTAGATATAATAGTTTTCATTAAATTCCATGCATACTTTTGACCTAAAATAATAAACATATCATAATTACTTGTTCCAAACTTATTCTAAATCTATTTTGCTGTATTATCTCACTTTTCTCAGTGTATTACTGTATTATTAGTACAACACAATAAAAGAAAATTAAATGTTTTATAACATTTCAACTTATAAATCGGATGTTGTTGTAAGTAAAATTACCAAAGTAAAGAGACTAAATTGGTTTTAAAATCAAACTCCTTCCTTTATTTGATGTCAGCATTTTTTGAAGATAATTGTCGTTTCTGATATGTTTCTCTTTTATGATAAGAAATTAGTAATGTATAATATTGAAAAAAGTTACCATACCTATACAATTTCTAGGACCAGCACTAAATGGAATATATGTGTACGGATGTGAATCTGTTGTATTTTCGAATCTGCTGGGGTTGTATGTATCGGGATCTGGGAAATACTTCGGGTTCCTGTTTGCCCAATATATAACGATTAGTAAACCCGCACCTTTCGGAATAATGTTTCCATCGGTATATACTACATCTTTGTCAGCTTTTCGACCAATATAAGGAACTGGTGGATACATCCTAAATATATAAAGTGAAAAATAATTAAGTTTGGAGACTTAGGTAGCATGATTATTCGATAACTACGTCATCTCAAATCTACGTATTTAAGTAATTAGATAATAGATAATAATTAGATAAGATTTTAGTAATCTAGTGTATAATTATATACGTAACTATAATTTATTTGTCCATTTTGCTAATTAAATTTAAAAATGTTTAACATCACACGGGCTTTTACTACGTCTTAAAAAACTCTATATATATATATATATATATATATATTATATATATATATATATATATATATATATTATATATATATATTAGTATTAAAATATTACCTTAGAGACTCCTTAATAGCCAGTTCTAGATACTTCATTTCTTGAAGATCGCGAATGGTCACATTTCTATTTACATTTTCTTCAAATATTTGTTTTTGTTCGTGAACAATCTTGTCCTAAAATAATAATCATATAAATATTTAAATAAAAAGAGTCCTAATTTACAAATCGTAAATTTTACAGGAGCAAATTTTAGTTTATAACATCAGAATATTGCAGTGCATCTTGTCGTTTCTTTGAAATGTCAAAGGTTAAGTCCCGTTAAAGATAGTACCTAAATAAATTATCTTCACGGATTCCGAAGACCACTATTCCCTGCCCTGAAAAGGCACAGTTACTCAGGTGGCTCTAGATTCAGTTACGAGTCTTAGGTTTATAGATTTTTTAAATTTTGTCTCTTCAACGTCAACCTCAAACAAAGCGACTGCGAAGGACCTAAAGCCTCCTGTGGATAATATCTATATGTAGCCACAGAAGACGATTGCGGGTTTTTATTTGGATTCGTGTATAAAGTGTTTTCGAATTTGTGGGGTTGGGTATGATAATTAAATGCATTCAGATTAATCCGCAAGAACCTTTGTTTTGAATTTTTTGGTTATTTGAAACGCGTGGACGATAGCTGTGGCTATTGCCTCATTGTTATCAGCAATAGGATTGAAAATCACAGAAAACCAATTGATTGTACGGTTCTCATATAGAGTGTTTTCAAGAACATCGTAATTATTATCATTAGAAAGATAACTATAGACGGAAGTCAGTATTGATGGTATATGAGATTATACTGAGATATATATTGAGATTTTATTTTTAGGGCGTCTGAATACTATATGTCCTCGAATGTGACAGGGCGTCTAAAGAACATTTTGAGCCTGGGTGTTGTAGATTAGTGTGGATGGATGTGGTCTGTGACGGTGTGGCCTGATAAAACTTTTGTAGATGCGCAGAAGCTTTATTAGTTGTATCGAATTTATCCATATATATTCCGTTTAAGCATCTGATATGCATGCAAATATGGCCAGTAGCTGTGTTTTTGTCGAAACCATAAAATTTTCTCATGGTGTTTTTGTCCGTGAGAGCCATAATCGGATGATTATAGGATTTTGATAATGACAAAATTCGCAATCCTATAAGATTTATCTATCATTTCTTGATATTAGTGTATATAGTGAGAGGTTTTTCTCAGAAGCAGGTATTATTTATAAAGAAAAGCGCAAAAGTTTGCTATCAACATATATATATATATATATATATATATATATATATATATATATATATATATATTATATATATATATATATATTTATATATATATATATAATATATATATTATATATATATATATAACCAAACAACACATTCTATTACGGCTGCAGTCAAGATGTTTGGCCGGGATGTTAAAAAAACACTCTTTTGACTTTTGGTCTAGCTTTCGGAATGTTTTATTCCTTTTTCAAGACACTGTAATAGGAAGAATGTGTAAATATTTACAAAAATCATAATTCGTCAGTTCAACTTACTAGTCGTTGAGATTATATAAAAAGCTTTACACTCAACATTAATAAAACAGATATAAAATATAAAATAATGGACAAAATACATTCTTAAATTTTTAAAATTTGAGTATGGATAGTAAACCTTTGTTTATGACCTCTTTTAATGGTGTTTTTCACCTCTGATACATAGAGAATACAAAGAGTGTCTATATAAAGGTAAATATTTATTTTATTTTTGATGTTTTTCCAGTAAATAACAATAAATGTTGATCAGTTTATTTATGTCAGATTTGTTATTTATACAAGACGTACTAGATTTTATAAAACACATTTCCAAGAAAACACGTTGTGAATATTTTTTTCTTTTGTCAAAACACAGGAATCCTCGAAATTACATTCATGTTTCAACGTTAATGCATGTTCTGTGAGTGCACAAGCATTTATTTTTTTTATTTATATTGTATATTATTCTTCAATATACACGTTGTTACAATTGGCACACGGTATAGAATAAACAATATTCGATGACTCCTGTATTGTGAAAGGATCTTTTGTTTTTGTGTATAACTTCGATACCGTTTTTACATTCTTGGTTGTAATTTTTAAGCCACAAACATTGAAAATGTTTATTAGCTTAGGTGTCAGAACTGGAACGTAGGGTAGGCAACCATAAGTTATTTGAGATGTTATCACTGATGTTGTGTGTCAATAACAATTGTCGGACCTCATTATTATGAAAATTTTGGTTGTCAGAAACTTGCGAAGGAAAAGGAGAACCGAAAATGAGTTTATTTAAAAGCCCTATGGAATAGGAGTTCTCTTTTAGTATAGATCTCAACTTTTTTAGTGCCTTGTTCCTCAACTCGATGTGTGACAAGTTAATAACCCTAGTTTTTAGAGCCAAAACCAAATTTGTTTTCATCTTAGATGGATGTTGAGAATGAAAGTTTAAGAAACGGTTACTAAAACAAGGTTTACGATACCGCTCCGTTCTTAGCATGTCATCATTGCCACGATGGATAAGGATGTCTAATAAAGGAATCATATTATCAGCAGCTCTCTCAACCGTGAACTTTAGGTGTTCACTCTGGGCGTTAAAGGTGTTTAAAACATCAGTTACTTTGTTTCCAGGGACCGATAAAACCAAATCATCTACATATCGTTTAATAAAATTGACTGCAGCCCTAATAAACTGTGTTGTTTGTTAATAATATAAACAGTCACTCTAATATCCAGTATATCTTGTATATATATATATATATATATATATATTATATATATATATAAATATATATATATATATATAATATATATATATATATATGTATATATGTATATATATATATATATATATTATATATATATATATATGTATATATGTATATATATATATATATATATATATATGTATATATATATATATATATATATATATATATATATATATATATATATGTATATTAAAAGTTATATAACTTACCTGTACATCCTTGTTAACTGACAAACAATATAAACAGAAACTTATAGCAGATGCAGTCGTGTCATGTCCCTAAAACAATAATAATAAGACTATATTATATTTACAAAAATATACTGGGAAATATATTGATCCAATGATTTAATGATATCGATTCGCAGCCTTGTAATAAGTGTTTATTACTTCTTTGTTTTACTGTTTTTTTTTAATTATTACATGATTTAACGAATATTATTCTGTTCTAAAGAAAATGATTTTTACATTTACAGATAACAACGATAGCTTACTATATAATACAGATTGAACCAAATTAAAACGGAACATACAATTTAATACATGTCTGTTTGAACTGCATTTGAAATAGTGGACCAATATAAAACTTGGACAAAAATAAAATCCATACCTGGGTATAGACATTGTATAAAATATCGTTCAACTATCTGTCTCGCAACAAAGTTGTTTGCGTAAGACGGGTTTGTCTAAGGAAGCGATAATAGTTCAGGAAATGAATCTCGAAAAAAGTTAAAACCTCGCAATTTTTTCGTCCTGCATGTATCCAGTTGAAATTTTAACAGAAGGTAGGTGATAGCCCAAGGATCAAAATCTATATCGAACCGAAATGCGCTGAAGGGTTTTAGGGGTGAAAACTACCCTAATTGTCAAAAATTATAAAATAACATATTAAACCTGAATATGGTAAGATTAGGTTTGAATTAGTTAAATAATGATCATTTTTATACTTTTGAATAGAGTTCCATCATATTTCAACCCTTAAAAAGCAACCCTGTTAGAGATTAATGTAAAAAAATTACTAATTCTAAAAAAATGATTTCGCCTTGGATCGATTTGGATAAAAATTTGGATTTAAGCTCAATTCACCCGCTGCTTTATAGTTTATGTCATGTCGACGAACCCTGATTGTTCTTAGGGGTGAAAACTACCCCTAATTGTCAAAAATTATAAAATAACATATTAATCCTGAATATGGGTAAAATTTGGTTTGAATTAATTAAATAATGATAGTTTCGTGCCTTTGAATAAAGTTCCATCATATTTCAACCCTTAAAAAGCAACCCTTATTAGACATTATTATAAAAAAATTAGTAATGCGAAGAAAATGATTTACAACTCACCCTCTGCTTTATAGTTTATGTCATGCCGATGAACCCGGATTGTTCTTAGGCGTGAAAACTACCCCTAATTTTCAAAAATTCTAAAATAATATTACAAATCTTAAGATGAGTGAAATTTGGTTTGGATTAGTTAAATAGTGATTTTTTTATACTTTAAATTACAAATTCATACATTTTCAACCGTTAAAAATCAATTGTTATGAGTGCTATAACTTTGAAATAATTCCAGATTTAAAGTCAGTGTCAGCCTAAAGAAAAAGAGAATTTAGTCGAAGAAGTAAGTCTTCGGAGGACCACAGTTAAACAGTAAGAAGATAATAATCAGACTTCCCTGAAAAACCTTAAAAAGAGTAGAACGAAAGATAATGATTTAAGAGTCATACAAGAATATATCTAATTGGCAGGAAATAACCAAATAAAGTGGAACTATCAAGGCGTACCCGGCTCAATGGGAATCTCTATATATTTCCAATGGTTTAAATTAGCAATGGCATATTTTGTTAAAAATGCAGTTATATTCAAATCTAGCATGCCACCCTACCTGAAGAAAAAAACATTCTATTATTGTACACTAGAAATCATGATATACGGCTGCAAAACTTGGACACTAAAGAAAGACATCATAGCGCAAGTCAAAGGTCAATGGAGTGATGTACGCTAGGCATAACAAAGAGATATCGCAAAAGAATAGACTGGATCAGACAGAAAACCGAGGTCACTAATGTAATTCACAGAATTAAATATTTAAAATGGCAGTAGGTGGGACATTTAGCAAGAAGACCATAATAGATGGTCCACTAGAATTTTACTGAGGTATCCAAGATGAGTATACCAATTACTATGGCATAAGGAAATATGGCACAGAGAAGTTAATATTAGACAATGGTGGGCAGAAATGAAGAATAATTATGTAACGGGGGCTGCACCATAATAGGTAGAATAAGCAGAGAATGAAGATGATGATAACATTGTCAGAAAATGCTGTGAAACTTTAAATACATTAGAAATAAAATATGCAACAAAAATACATTAGAAATAATTTAGGATTAGTAGTTCGAAGATAAACAATGTCGTATTGCGGATTAATAATACTTTCCATGTGCAGTTTAAAAGTTCCTAGCAAGGTAAATAATAGAACAATACATGTTTACGAACAGATTAGGAATTTTGATTAGAAATCTATTGTAAGATGAACATCAGTAATGGTGTTTCCCATAATCTCTTAGAAGATACATTTGTTTAGTTTATATAACTTTCTAATTTCCACATAAATTTTGTGGAGGGCAGTGGAAGATCTAGTCCCCTCTGACGAAGGGAGGGTTGTATTTTCAATTTGGGTAGGATAGAAAAAGTCTGGTGGCGAGCAAATCGAAGAAACGGATTTGCTAGGAAAGTTAAGTTGAAAGGAACTTTTCATACTGTTTTCATAGTACTGGAGTCTTGCGATTTGGTTATAAAGTCAGTTTTCGGTTTAAATATAATTTTTTTAAACAAAGAATCCATTACTAATAGTTTATTGCGGACGTTTTAAAAATGTATTATTATTATACAAAGGATAGGCAATTATACTGTCATTAAGTAGTTTTCGATCTAATCAGATAATTTTTAGGAATACATAGTCTTTTTGCATTTACAAAGCATCACTTGAATTTTTGCTTCATGTATATTCCATATTTATGTTTTTTATATTATGTATCTTAATAAACTGTTTTTTTTTTCGATATTTGAGCTTTCATTTTCAACTGAATTTTATGAATCTAAATGGAATACAGAAGTAAAATATGAAGCACAAATAACCTTGAGGAGAATAACTTATAAAATTTATCGTTTTTTTGTTTAACTTTTCTGTGATAGCAAAATAGATGAAAATTTTAGTACAGTAGGTATTTTAACATAAAAGCGCTATCGGACTACATCCCAGAATGTTTTTGGAATGCCCATTCCACCATCAGTGATTTCTAGGTGTACATGTTTAAAGCCACTAAATATATGGGTAAAATTCCCTTAAATATAGTTAAGTTAATCTTGAATTATATTTTTAATAATAAATACTAGGATTTTATTACTCACAGCAAATAAAAAGGTATCAACTTCTTCTCGAATCTCTGTATCGGTAAGAGGTCTACCATCAATTTTTGCTTCTAACAGTAAATCTAAAAATACTTTTCTCTGTTTAATTCCAACATCGTCTATTTTTTCTTTTTCTTCTCCATTCTGCTTTTTCTTTAATTCTTCTTTCCTAGAAGTGATTACGTTCATTGTATGAGAATGAAGTATTTTAACCTGTTCCATTTCTATTTTGTAATCAGTGGTAAAACGGTAGAAAAACTCGAAGGTTTTTAAAGGTGAGTACGTTCTGAGGATCACCAATCTGCACAACTCTGATACTGCTTGAACATAGTCCGATTTTGGATTTTTTTGGGCATTTATTGACACTCCCATTGATGTTTCTGAAATCAAATAGAACTAAACAAACGTTTTATAGGATAAGGGCTCTACCAGAGAGCTATCATATAATGTTGATCTGATTTTTGACGACAATAGCTTTTAGTTTATTGATGATTTATGAAGAAATATTATTTTATTTTTTTTTAATATGCATGACAAAAAAAAATTAAATAAAAACATATCAAATAGCCTGTATTTCCATCTCGGATATCAATATAAGTTTGACAACTTCGTAATATACTAGTCATAGGTTTAGTGTTTTTATTTAGGGATTAAGTAGGTTATTCTTTAGGGTTTTTCCATAAAAACAATACTATTGTCAGCAATTCCTCTCCATAGTCTAACAGTATTTAAAATATGCCTTTTATATCTGGCATCATTTATATTGTTTATACTCATACCAGCATAGAATTGGTCACTAGGTTGGTTAACCCTAATACCAGTTTAAAAACATTCGACTTTCCCTTACGAAGGGGGGCACATTATGACTTTGTAATAATTTGACAGTTGTTGGTGTTCCTAAACCCAAATCATTTATTATAGAAATTCTAGTTTTATTTAACAGCATGAGCGCATCCCAAAAGTTCTTCAAATACGCAGATACACCCATTAGTTATTGGAAAATTAAACCGAAATCTCTATTTTTAACTAACTAAGTAGATCAGAACCGGATAAACTAAGAAATCGGAAATATTAATAGGAATAGCGAAAATTTACTAATAGAAAAATAGCCATTTATGTTGTTTGTGATAGGCATTTGTGATGGATAAATAGTAGATTTTGCTTGTGTCTTCAGTATAATTATTTAGTAATTTAGAAACTGTTTGTATTCGTTTGTTAGCGCGTTGAGGCGATAGAGATGTGGTAGTAGTAGGTCGCTTAGCACTAAAAGTCATTGTTTTGCTGCGAATTATTCGTGCATACTGACGCGCAACACTTAGCGACAGAAAAAACGAGAGCTAGAGGGTATTCAAAATGTATATATATATATATATATATATATATATATATATATATATATATATTATATATATATATATTATATATATATAATATATATATATATATATATAATAGCACTACGAGCCTAGTAGGCCCATGGCTTGAGCTGTTATTGTTTTCCATTTCTTCCTATTAGTAGCCTTGTCCTTCCATCTTTCTATTCCCAGTGTTTCTAGGTCTTTCTCTACTTCTTGCTTCCATTTACTTCTCGGCCTTCCTCTCCTTTTTCTTGTACCCATTGTATGCATCAGAATCATTTTTGGTACTCGAGAATTTGTCATTCTTTCTATGTGCCCTAGCCACCTGAGTCTCTGAGCCTTTACTACTCCCACTATAGTAGGATTCTTGTACATATATTCTAATTCTTTATTTGTTCTTCTTTTCCATGTATTGTCTACTATCTTGCCTCCAAATATCTTTCTCAAAACCTTCCTTTCCCATATTTCGAGCATACCTGTTTCGCCTTTGTTCAGTGTCCACACTTCACTGGCGTAGGTTACCACTGGTTGTATAACTGTTTTGTAAATCCTTATTTTGGCATTCCTAGATATCTGTTTACTTTTTAATAGCCTGTTTAATGAGTACACGCATCGGTTTCCTGCCATTATTCTTGATTGGAGCTCCTCTCTAATATTTGGTTTTCATGTGAACATCGACCCCAGGTATGTAAATCTTTCCACTGCTTCAAATATATATGCTTTTTCACCCTCTACTTCTATTTTTAGATTTCCTCCTTTTTGTTCACTGTCATCTATCCATTCCATGTATTTTGTCCTACTTTCGTTGATGGCTAAGCCTATTTTCTTTGCCTCTCTATCTAGCCTCTTTACTACTTCTTGTAGCTCCCATTTACTATGTGCCAGTATTACTACATCGTCTGCAAAGGCTAGACATTGTTGCTTTCTTTGGTATAACAATCCCTCTCTGTTGACATTTGCATCTCGTATGACCTTCTCCAAACACAAGCTGAATAGTATCGATGATAGGAGATCTCCTTGCCTTACTCCTTCACTGACTTCAAATTTTTCCGACATTATATTATTTATTTTAACTCTGCTCTCAGTCTTGGACAACGTTATTTGTATCATTCTTATAAGTTTTCTACTGATACCCAATTCTTCTAGTGCTTTGCTCATTTGGTTCCGTTTTATTCTATCATACGCTTGTTTGAAATCAATGAAGAGGACCCTTGTCGGCAGATTGTGCTGATAACTTTCCGCTTGCAATTCTCTGAGCGTAAATATCTGATCTGTTGTACTTCTACCAGGTCTGAAGCCACATTGGTACTCGCCGACAATGTTTTCTATCACTCCTGCCAATTTGTCCTTTATACACGCTGCAAGAATTTTGTATGCAGTATTCAATAGTGATATCCCTCTGTAATTTTGACAATCTGTCCTATCGCCTTTCTTATAAAGTGGGCATATAATTGCATCTGTCCATTCTTGTGGTAGTTGTTCTTTAATCCAAATCTCCTTTATTAATTCGAACATTTGCTCCTCTAGCGTTTTCCCTCCATATTTGAACATCTCTGCAGTTATATTATCACTTCCTGGACTCTTGTTATTTTTTAATTTCTTTATTATTTCCTGTATCTCGTTTCTGGTAGGGGGTGTTTCTTCTGTCTCATTTATTTGGTTCCTATGTTTCTCCGTTCTTATAGGCTGTGGCTGTTCTATCCTGTTTTCGTCATTTAGCAATTCATCGAAGTATTCTTTCCATCTAGCGGCTATTTCATTTTCTCCACTAATGGTGTTTCCCTCTTTATCTTTGTAAAATATTGTTTTCTGTTGGTATCCTCTTTTTTCATTTTTTACTCCCTGGTATAAATTTCTAATTTCTCGATTTTTGTAATTTTCTTTTATTTCTTTCAGCTGATTTTCCATGTACTTTCTCGTTTTCATTCTCAAAACTTTTTTTACGATTTTTCTTTGTTTTTCATATCTGTTTCTTGTTTCCTCCGTATCACTTTTGATCATATCCATCCTTAGTTTACTTCTTTCTTCAATTTCCTTCTGGCATTCTTCGTCAAACCAATCCTTTTTCTTTTTAGTTATATTTTTATTGCATTCTTTAGCTGTGTTACTGATAATCTGTTGAATTTTGTCCCAGTCCTTGTCTATGTGCCCTGCTAGGTGTATTTCATTTAATTTTCTATCGATACCTTTTCTATACATTTTCTTCTTGCGTTACAAGCCGCACTGGTTTATTTGTGTTCTTATTTTTTCTTTTGCGATTTTTTTCTTCCGGTATCAGTTGAGCCATTTTAATTCCTAACATGAAGTGATCCGAGTCAGCGTCTGGTCCTCTGTATGTTCGCACGTTCTTTATACATTTTCAGTCTTCTCTATCTATTAGTACATGGTCAATTTGATTTAATGTTTTTCCATCTGGGGATCGCCATGTTGCTTTGTAGATGGTTTTCCTCTCGAAATATGTACTCATTACTAGCATATTTTTTTCTTTGGCAAAATCTATCAAAAACTGCCCGTTCTCATTACTTTCCTCGTGTTTGCTAAATTTTCCTATAGTTGTTCTATATATTTCTTCTTTTCCTATCTTTGCATTTGCGTCCCCCAGTACTACTTTAATGTCATATCTTGGAATACTTTCAAATACCCTATTAACTTCACAGTAGAAATCCTCTTTTACTTCAATATCTTTTTCTTCTGATGGTGAGTGAATGTTAATGAATGTGATTTTTTGATATTTTCCTCTTATTCTTAGATAACATAGACGATCAGATATTGGTTTAAACTCTACAATTGATGCTTTTAACGCTTTATTTACCATAAATCCTGTGCCTAATATTCTGTTTCTGCCTCCACTATTAAAAAATAAGCTATTTTCAATTTCCAGCATTTCCTGACCCAGTTGCTTTGTTTCTTGTAGTACTACTACGTCACATTTAAACTTTTCAATTTCTTTATTTAAGTGTTTCAGTTTTCCTCCCTCAAGAGTACCCCTTACGTTCCACGTTCCTACCATTAAGTGATCTTTTGGATATGTGTTTCTATTGCCTGTTTTTGTATTTTTTATCTTTAAATCACCCTTTCCTATGACAATGTGACCGGTATTCATGTCCTTGTTCCTTGCGTTGTTCGTCTTTGTATTTTTACTATCATAGCCGTTTTCTAGTTTTTTGAGTTTGTTATTTCCATTTTATCTTCCTTGCTGTTCCACTTCCATTCAACACCATTTATCATCATTTTCCTTGCTCCTATTTTGACTTCGTTTCCTTTGTTTCTTTCCTCTTGTGCAATTTTTCTTATTATTTTTTGAATTTCTCTCTCTCTCACCGTTGTATCATCGTTGATGTATACCTTTTCCTTTTTGACGTCCTTTAACTTTGCTTTATTCTTCATAACTTTTATCTTTTCTTGTTGGTTCTCCATTTCTATTAGGCACGTTTTTGGACCTAGTTTGTGGGCCGTCTTTATTTTGGCCTCTACTGCAAGGTGATCTTTTATAAAATTGCCAATTGCTTCCTTCAATACCAGCTGATCCTGCGTATCAATTGCTAGCCCGTTAGCTAAGATAAATCATATTGTTAAAGATAGGTAAACACAATGTATTAAACAATAATATTAGATTATATTTGGCAATATTGTTTTACATATATGTGTACGAAATCGTAATGCGCATTACAGCATTAATAAATATTAATTACAAAGATTGTTTTAACTGTCCTGGGCTAGTTGTTTGGCTTCATGTAACCCTTGGTTAATCAATATTTTTATTTGATCTGCCCAACGGCTTGGAGATCTTCCGCTAGGTCTCTTTCCTTCAACTCTACCCTCGACTATCAGACTAGAATCGTTTAAATCAATCCTTAATTCTTCAGTAATTACATCTAGGCGACATTCATTTTCCAAATACTTTCTCTTTGATCTTGTCAATATGTTCACACACTTCCTTCCAGTTGTCTACAGTTACTCTTGCAAATTCCTGTTTCACCAACACTTTTACGTCTTCTAACTTAGCATAACAATTTTGTTTT